CAGAAGTTGTGCTTTGGGCTTTTCTGCCGTCTCAGTGAGTAGAGACTTGGCCATCTCTGTCATCTTTCGCACCCAATTGCACCAAAATGGCCGAGAACATACGAGAACTTCTTTGCCGGGTATCTGGTCCAAAGGATGACCTCTCACCATTGCACCACCGAGCGATAAGTGGGTCACGTGAGCGATGCAGTGAACGTCCGTGTCTTGACCTGATGGCTTCTGAGATGATAAACAATTTGAGCACCGTAGATTTGTTGAACACCTGAGTTGTCCATCATCCCATTTCCTATTTCCAGCCTAAACATCCTAAACATCTGGCATCACAAGCCTTTCAGCCATGCTGGTGATGTCCTAAAACCAGCTGCATTTGTTTTCCATGCCCCTAATGGCACCAACAGGTCCTCCATGACCGTGTGGCGCTGTGCCAAAAGGCTGCGTGAACGGCCGCTGTACCAAGGGTTGTCGTTCCTTCCTGTTCATGGAACATCTGCACTGCGGCCGTGCGGCCGTTTGTGCCCTGGAGGAAAACACATCCCTGTCCTCACATCCTTCTCCCAAGCAATCCCTGACTAAAAAAAGATTGGAGAAGTCATCATTGAGGCGAGGGTTTCACGGAGCCGAACTGAACCTTTAGGACATAAACAGCAAATCACTCATACTGGCATTGCGCATGTTGATATAGCGGCAGATGTTTGTTATAGAGAGATTTAGGTCTCTTAGTCCATGGCTGCTTGGAACAACTTGTGTTCGCACCATCCGACCATCCGTGTCATGTCGCAATTTCGCCCGGGTGGACCCGGGCAAAGCCCTCGCCCTCCGATGTCCCAAGGCATGCTTCTGCTGGGCACGACCTGAAGGGGTCCGCTGGCCACGGGCCGGGAGCCTTGGGAGCCTCCTCTATCCAAATACATAGGACCCCCCAAAAGGAACGCAACACAGCCAGGAAGGATCCGAAACGAAATGGACCATTTCAAACGCCAAGTGTTAGCAGGTCCCTGGGCAACACAAAAAGCCACACCAATACCTCACCTGAAGTGTCGTTCCGCATCTGCACTTCACCATGTCAGCAGGGACAACAGCACTCCAAAAAAGAAAAACAAAACATGTTGATATCTATTGATATCTGATGTATGCATATATGATCATAGAAGCATATCATATGTATATGCAACCTATATATTTATAACATATATATATATATACATATTTCACACACACACATATATATATATATAGAAACACCCTTCCCTTCCAGCTCGGAGCCTCACCACCCCATGTCGTTTGCGGCCATTTGGTGCTCTTCTGGGCACCCCAAGCGCAAAGACTCCAACGAAAGGTCCTGCAACTCCCGGAGCTTTCCCATCGACCTGCTCAGCTTCAAACGTTGAGAAGTCGGTCGGATCACCATGGGTTCCCATCGGACCCTGTAGAAAAACCTATGTCTATGACCTGCCAATGGTGAGACCATGATTGACCAAGCCGGTCGGTTTGGACTGAGGGAAGATACCAAAGTGTTAAAGGCATTGCCATCTTTTAGAAGTCAGTGGTTCCACATATGTGCGGCACTTATTTGGTACTAATCTCAAATACAGTATCTATTATGCACACTATTTCGTTCAGACTACTTTAGTGTCATCAAGCAAAAGCATCTCGTTTATGTGGGGGCCCTATCTCGTTCAGAAGCGAATACGGATGATAGACAAGAAAATAGAGCATGCCGTAGACTACTTTAGTAAAGCCTAAATAAAAGTGGTTGCTCATATAGACTTGTGCCCAGTAGCATCCAATATTCCCTGAGCAAACTCGTGATGTCAACAAGCCCAGGTTCTTGGACCCCTTGGCAAATACGCCTTTTTGCTGTGCCTCATCATGTGTGCATCTCGGCACGGGTTCCGGCTCACCACCAGGCCTTCTGAAGTCTTCTCTTCCAGCCTGCGTGATGTTTCACGTGATCCTGGTGCTCCTGAACCTACAAACCACTGACAAAGTTTCACGATGGTCCTAGTGTCCCTCAACCCGTTCTGTAATTAGTGCAAAACACCAGAAACTACATGCTACCAGTCAAGTTGCAGAAACCCCCAAACATGAACAAAGCAGCTGCCAAATGCATCCAAATGCTGTCAAAGCGGTCAGCCCCCGCTTCATACCACGTCTGCCCGACCTCGGGTGGGGCACTCACCGAAGCGCCTCAACAATCAATCGTGTGTCGATGGACATCTGCACATGGATACCCACAAATACCGGCGTATAGATCCCTATCCCCATAGTACAATTGTCTGCATTGTCGTGTCACTTGCCATATTTTTGGGCAATGTCCCGAGAAGAATCCTAGCATGTTCTGGAAACCTTGTGGCGGCCCACGGAGCCGTGGGCGGCTCCGATGATCCGCCCGTGCACTGATCGCCGATCGCATCGCTTGTAGGCCGGTGCCAAAGGCGGGATCAGGGGGAGAAGGAACAGTTATGAAACCGTGAAACACATTTGATCCGAGCAAAAACAATGAGATCTGACCACCTGAGTGGGGAGGTGGTCGAACCACTGCGTCGTTTCAAGTTGGGCTTGAATCGCTAGTTTATGACAGGACGGCGGCGATTTTGGCAATTTGTTTGCAAATTATCTCACAAACAATGACTCCACATGAAACAAATGACACAAACATAAACATAACATCGCTTACTGGTAATAAAAGGAGGACTAAATCCGATCACCGTCGGAGAAAACAACAACACCATACCCGTCACAGAAACCTCCTGTATACTTCGTATCAGCGTCATGTGTGATGTCCAGAACGTCCTTCAAGCCATGTGTGAAGCCCATTTGTGGGTCCGTCCGGTGTTGGCAGGTGTGGACTGTCACACTTCCCAGCGCCTTCAGGGACAGTGTTACTGGGCGAAAGCTCGGGTGGAGTTGGCCTCGGCCCCGGTGACCGGTGTTGGACCCGCCGTCTATCTGGTCGGTGTCTTCTCAACGGTGAGGCCTGGTAAGGCAGAACCACCGCCGCAAAGCAACACCAAGCGGGTTCAAAAGCCACATTGAGTTCGGTGTTTTTGTTGTAGCTCGCAAACGCTCAAGAGCTATACTATAAGTGCCCGACGGAAGTGATAGCATCCCCTCATCTCCGGCAAACCTAGCAAGTGCCAAAGCCAAGTCGTTGCAGCGCCAGGTCGCTGTGATCAGTGTTTAAACCAATCATATTGACTACACTGCAATTGTATTCCATATTTACAGTATTTACACTGTTTACACAGCATCTTAAGCACTTGCAGCGTCCCAACAAACCGGAGCAATCTCCAGGACCAAATCAGCAAACCTGGTTCCACCGTCGGCTGAACATTGAGGGCCCACGCAACAGGCGGTCCAAGTCATTGGCCTCTCATTTTCCGGTGAAGCGGTGAAGCACCAATATTTTTGAATCTTTGATCCATGATCTGATCTGGAACCCACACACACACAAAAGAATATGCATACAGTCGGGCACAGTAAATGGATCGTACACGTAGTAACAGTCACCCGCCCGTTTAGGCACTGGATCATGTGTGTACGCCAGCAAGGCATCTGATGGAGCATCACGCCAGCAAGCACAGGAGAGTAGAGCTTCATGCACAAGTTTCCAGTCGCGAAGAAATGCATCCAAATGGGCGAAGATTTCATGATGTTGCCTAGAACCGGGGGGCACTCACGTCCTACTTGGCACAGCAGGCACGGCAATGAACTCAATACTGACACTAGGAGGTCCAGAAACCATGTATATAAGCTGCTGGATTGGTAGAGTTTGCCAGCTTCCTCTCCGAAATAATAGTGGATCAATCTGGAGTCCTGGGGTGCTCAAGCCAAAAACCTAAAGATTGCATGGGGGATAAAATATAGTGACCGGACCATACTATACATTCACGTTTTATGGATAAGTCGTGACCAAGTGAGACTAGCCACGTCCATATTAACAGTATACCTCTGGACTCTGCATCGGGTGGTTGATTTGTCAGTCTACGGCTGAGTTCTTGAGGCCGCCCCTGACAAACTGAAGTGAAGTGCTACTGCTATTAATCACTGGGTTTGACAGAACCAATGAGCCCTAAGCCCATGACATTCAACGATGCCGATGATCTGTCACTTTATCACTTTTTCTCAGCGTCTTCAAGCCTCAAGTCGAGAAGAACAGCCGCACTAAGTTCTGTAAGGTGCTTGGTTGAAGAGACTCCGAGCGTGCTGACGAGCAAACCCGCCCATCACGCCGTGCTCCCAAGCAGGTCGGGGGGCCAGCTTCATCTGGGGGCTGACCGATGCCCATGGACCGGAGCACCGGAATTCGGCACGGACCAAAAAAGGGTTCTCGGTCTGACCGAGGAACGAGGGGCGTTCTGTACAATACCGTTCAGTCATCCGGTCACGCCATCCGATCACCGAGATCAGTGTCCGATCATCCCTCGGAAATGCTGAAGAAGAGAAAAACAACACATCAACACGTCTGCCATGGACGTTCTCATGCCTGCTGTGTCAATCCTGATCGATGTTAGAACAAAAACGTTTTAGAGGGCTTGGTACCATGTGGCTGGCATTCTGTCATACGTTGAGGGAACGCTGGGCTACAGTACAGTACATCACAGGTACATCATGATTGCATTCTTTCCTTTAAAACCTGTATTCACTAGGGATGCGTGTCTTTTGGCATTGGTTTGGTTGCCGTATCTGCTTTTTGATGACCTGCTGACCTGCTGCTCTTGTGTTATTTGATGTGTTTGTTTCCCAGTGCCAGCTGACAAACACTGAAATTCAACGTCAAGTGCCAAAAGCCGGAGCTCATGGCATGATTTCGTGCACTGCTATACAACGTCCGAAATATGATAAATATGTATATATAATGGTGTACACTGCGTTGAGCTGGAGTCAGCCAGTCTGAGTCTATGCCAAATGACTTGGAGGGTCGATGCCATGCAGCTACTTGGGATCTGGGGAAACTCACGTCTTACCGTTTTACCTTGGTCGAGGCACTGAAATCTGCGCTATCCGCGGACCATCCTCACAGTGGTGGTCTTGGTCGTGGTCACAACCTGGACAGCGAGGACAACCTCCCTGCTTTTGCCCATCTCAAGGGGAGCGGAAAAGGAACATCTTCAACCGTGCGGTCTTGGGTTGCTGTTACTGTAGCTGTGCTTTGCCCACGAAACAAGGGACCTCCCCAAAACAAACCTTTTCAAACCGCTTAGAGCTTAAGCGCCTTTTCAGCGCATCCCCGAGGCCCAGAAAGAAAACAAACCAACACACGCGCCGCCGACGTTTTGTACGGGCAACGGGTGGACCATCGGAACATCTGCATCTGTGGAGTGCCAGGCACGGGTGTGGACAAGGAACTGTTCAATTGATGAGTGAAGACGGTGAATGAATCCAAGTATATACTTGCATGTAGTTTGCCCATGCATCACATCAATTGTACTGGGTAGATCATTCCATTACCAGGGCGGTTGAGGCCTTTCTCAAAAATAGTGATAGTATATGATAGTATGTTACCGACTGTTACTGGCCATGGGGCGCGCCTTATCAACCACCACGCACTTCCACATGCAGGCCAGGAACACTTCCATCATGGCGCACGCTCCTGGTCACAGTGGTTGTTGTGCCGCCGTAACCAGTGCTTCGACTCCTCCGTGTCGAGGTGCCGGAGGTGTCCCGTGCTTCCTCCGGATCAAAGCGTCTAAGCGTCTCCTTCTAAAAAACCTCAACAGCTTCACATTCACAGCTCATCCGAAACCAGCCTCACATCGACTCCCCCCATGTCTTCGTAGATAGTTGTATATTTGAGGAAGGAGTTCTGAGGTATTTTACAGCAAGTGAAATAGATTGACAAACTGGTTCCAGTAAGGACGACTAGCGTGTTCGCACCTCATCAAGCCTGTTTTGTGAGCACCTAGTAGCAAAGCCGACAAGCCTCAATGACAACAGCAATGATTGCATGCTTACACTTTAATGGTTGACAGGGACACCAGTGATGATAGGCAGAATGAACGCAGCTCTCACTATGCCGACTGTATATAGGGAATTTAACAAATATACGTTTAACGTCAATATTGGCAAAATAAAGTATATGTAAACGCAATGACAGCGTTGATCAACAAGCTTCAATGACAAGCCGCAACGCAATGAATGACAACATCAACAAATTCCTTCACTTTCTTCCAACATGTTCAACATGATGCAATTCTACCAGGGGGCCTTTCTGAAGTTTCCCTCATCCTGATTACGCTGAGGGTCTCTGGAAAAGCTTTGCACCACACCGCCATAGCCGCCATAGCCGGAGTGCCGCTTCGAGCTGGTCGTGTCCTTGGAGACCTGGAGGTCCTGCGGAAGACCGTGATCATCCGAGTTGCTCAAGACCCAGACTTCAAGGACCTGGTTCTCCCACACAAAACATCAAGCTGGAACAGTGTCTTGGCAGTATGTCCAAGAAAATGACTCCAAAAGATCGACATATTATGTTCCGTATTCTAACCCATCACCTCACAAAGTGCTATTGTCTAGTTTCATATGGAAAGAAAGAAATGCGGGTTTGCAGCAAAGCACATGTAGCGCTCTGTCCTGGAAGTCCTTGAAAAAGGCTTGCAAGTCATTCAAGTGTGGAGCCTGAGAATGGCAGTTCGTTCGGAGCTTTGCTTCAAGCTCTGTTCAGCAGCGATGGCTGGCGTGTCTGCCAAAAACCTGGACACTACCTGTGGGTTCCGCACAAAGCTCACACAATCAACATAAAACCCACGCTCACTAAAAGGGTTTGACCATCATCACGACTTCCGAACCTCTTCACGTAGTTATGTAGGTGCATCGTGGATAACCACACATCATAGACTTGTACTTATAACTGTGAAATATATATTTATATTTACTTATATATATATAGGTACGGTAAATTTATGAAGCCATGCACGACTAGCTGTGCTACCCAAAACCCCGAAACCGGGTCCGGATGCACCCTCACCTCGGCACGTCCACTGCGGCGTGGGCCTGTGCACAAGGGGTGAAAGAAGGAGTCTTCTTGCCCTACACCTCCAACTACCTCCAGGTAGTGGTGGGGGTGAAAGAAGGTGGTTGGGGTGAGCGCAAGGGGGGGGCCGAACTACTTCGTATAAGGGTTAGCCTTCTGGCATCCGAAGTCAAGCTGATAAAGCTGTTCATTTCTTAGCTACTTTGGGGTGTTTTTGTAACTCATGATCACGTGCAGAATTGAAACTGACCAAAACTTTGCGACATCACCCATGGCAATGTTCGAAGCTCCATGATAGGAGCAAAAAACGTTTTGTTCCAATGTACGAACTACGAAATCAATCAAAATATATCAAAATCATGTTTGGCAAGCGTTCGTAAGGCAAGGTTCAGCCTTGCGGGCAGGGCAAATCGGTCAACATTGGGGACACGGATTCTGTGTGCTTCTCACAGTTGACAGTCAATGTGGCCTTGCATATTCCCAACTCCACGTGGGCAATGCTGTTAAGATCTTCCAGAAACTTCGACTCTAAACAAAGCTTGTCGTATTCGATCTGATTTCTGACATCAAAGAGCAGTCTAAAGTTTCTAAAGTAAAAGCTTCACACATGTCTAAGCCACCTCCTGGTGCTTGCCCAGGGCCACTTGAGACACCGCTCCAGCTCATCCTTCGTGCAGGAGGTTTTGGCTTCTCCTTCAGCTCCCCGACATCCCCAAAGCCATGTAAACAATTAAATAGCACTGATGAAAAAGTGTACAAGGCGGGGCGGCCATAACCATTGTCGCAGTAATTAAGAGAGGTTGAAGAACCTTCAAACTAAAGAGCTCACTTTCCAACACTGAAACAACACGCAAAAGTTCATAGCTTGTACATACATGTAGCCCGGGAGCGGCACTGATGCGAGACTCTTATGAGTCTCGCAACATCACCGCACGTCCTCGGTCCTTCTCAGCGACGTATGGACTGCCTCGCGGTAGAACATTCTGCCGAAAGCGCCCCATCACATTGCCGGCTGGGAAATAGTTCGCCACGCAGAATCTCCCATCATCTGAGCAAGCCATTCCCACATGTGTGGTCCCTGACGCGAAACCAATGCCATTTCAGACCGTTGCGCATGGCAAACAAGAGCTTCAAATAGTTATCGATCAGTGCCCAACTCTGCATTGAAAGAAATGGACCAATATTAGTTGCTCTGTGCCGACCATGAAGCACCGCACGTGACACTCTAAACATCTCTAAACGTCACGTGCGGTGCACGACAAGAAGCACGCCCCACCATCGCTCCGAAGAGTTCTCGCAAAGCACGTCCCCCCCAGCCGCCTTTCCAAACCACCTGCGTGAAGTGCCCGGTCCCTTCGTGAAAGGTCGCCGCGCCTCGGAGGGCTCGCGAGATGGCGGTCTCGCACCGCGCAGATTCGGATCAACAACAGCACGTTCAGACGAATCTTGGAACAGTTCAAAGAAATGACACCATGTGACCATTTCTAGAGTCCAGAGTGTTCATGTCCATTGCGACATTGACTTCACATGTCTACTGTCTACCCATTTTCGCCTGTGAAGAGCATTTTGCCAGCGACGAACAGTCTTCAGTCGTGGAAAAGAAGCCGAACTGGAAAGGTGGACAAAAGGTGCGAAGGCCGAACTGAGGGCCTTGGAATGGTAGTGAACATGAGTTTTAAGCCACATTGATTGATATTGATTGATTCTGATTGATATTTCATTCAGGTGTAAGCAAATCTTCATCCATTTCTGTTCGAGCAGGTGACCAAACAAAAAAACAAAGGCATCACATGGAAGATAGTCGTAGATGGCATGTCTAGTGGCAAAACGACTTTCCAAGTACCAAACAAAGGTTCCCAGCTTGCATGTCAGCCTGAGTTCATGGCAAGCAAAGGAAAAACACATTGATATAGCAACCTTGATCAACCCCGGACTTGTGACAAAGCTCTTTACACAAGCTTCCATCCCACGACTCTGCAACCGAAAGCAAACATAGCTTCACCGTGCTCTTCGTATCCATGTTGAATGGTTTGGGCCGGTTTGGGATGGTGTCTATTCGTGACCTACATGGCTCACCCAAATTGATTCCAGTGAAACCGCTGCAAATCAACCTGCAACAGGGCATCCACAAGCACTAGAAGGGATTGGAATGAATGTTTGGACAGTTTTTAGCACATAGCCCTCTCCTCGGTCCAGTTCAGGATGGTGGTTAGCATTGGCCTTAACATCCTTAACATAAAGTGACAAGAGTGATGTAACTACAGGGGGTAATGGCGAAACCGAATTGGAATTCTATCCGATTCCACGATCTGATGCAGCTGTTGTCTCTCGCATCCTGCCCAGTTGATCGAGTGGCCAAAGTCATACTGCTCAATTTCATCGTACCACACCTTCACCATCCTTGTCCGGAAGTGGGCGCTTCTTCGGCGCTTCTTCAAATGAAGCACATGGTCTGGAAAACACGTCCCCGGTCTTTTGAGTTGGGTCACTACGGAAGATGCTGTTGACATCGAACTGTCACAAATGTTCACCCAAACGTGCCCCATTCTTGAGCTTGGCTCAAGCCAAACTCACCAGCCTATAGTCGGATGACGGCTTCGAATCTCAACAAAAAAAAAACCATCACAACAACCCGAATCGAATGGTTTGGTCGTCGTCGATTCCGCTCTGCAAAGCAAGCCACTCCTGGGCCGAAGATCCAGGGGCGCTGCACCAGTAAATGTTTTGCCCATGGTCCCCGGAAGGCCCAGAGGTCGTGCCCTCAGGACGAAAACAAGCGCTGGAGTCGCTGGAGTGATCAACGGGGTGTCCTTACTTGGCTGAACTGGGCTTCGGCTTCACACGCACATGTTTTGTAACATTCAGTTTTCCGATAACGAAGCTCATCGCTTTTCAATTGTAACATATGATCAAGTGTGCGTTCTGTCCGCTAAAGCGGTGCGCGTTCTAGATCGCTTTCAGGGCCCTCAGATGTCGAGCCTGCATTACGGAAATCAGCCTTGTCTGAAGGTTGGCATGCCCTTTGCCACCTCCGAGGAAGAATGGGGTTCCCCCTGTTTCTCGCCAAGGACGCAGGCTGAAAGGCACAGAAATGGGACTTCAGGAACAGCAAATTGGTGCAAATTCTTCGATTGAAGTCGTGACATGCTTCGAGTAGATGGTGCTTCGTACCATGGTCAGTTGCTTCGCTCTTTGCCGCGAGAAAGGAGGGAGTCGCGACCTGCTCGGATCTCTGGAGAATCTCGGCCCCGACGTGTTTCACCCGACGTGTTTGGCAGCTCCGAGACATGCTCCGAGTCATGGCGCCGGAAACACCGTGTGCGGCGAGTCTGGGGTAATCACGGAGTGACTCTCGTACAGGAATGGGGAGGAGTCCTTCCTTCAACCCCTTTTCTCTGAAGGTCATGAAGTGTTTTTGGTAACACGTTTGGAATCAGGACCTCCCTACACAAGCACCCGCGCTCGAATGAGCACCGATATCGATATCCTCTCACAAACTGGCTTGCCAGGCTAGCAAGGCAAAAGCACAGTGCAGCAGGAGTGGACGGAAGGACCGGGGAAGAAGTTGCGGATTTTCCCCAAGAAGCTTGGAACGGCTGGACGGGGCGGAATTCTGCACAAGCCGGACACCTGAGGGGCGATGGCGAAATTGCTGCCAAAGACAAGCGGCCATATCGCTATGCAAAGTGTATGGTGGCGAGTCACCGCGTCTGCTTGCACCCGCAAAGCTGGCATCAGTTGGCACAGCGTTTCACTTGCTGTGTCTTTGGACCATCATTGTCTTATCAAACCTTATTTATTGGCTGAACTGACAACGAACAGTTGGGTCATCGGAATGCTTCGAGTTCTCGATTTGAGACCCGTCTTGGCACAGTGGTTTGGCGGATCAAATCAGTCACCCTGGAGCTGTTGGTGATGGATATATATATATATATGTGCCATTATGTGCCCATGTGCCTGCACATTCATGTTGCAACGAAGTGCTGCCGAGCGTCGTGAAACATACACCTTCTCGCTTGACCTAGGCTTGTTAAATGCCGCCATAATTGCCATATCGATTTTGAAAACCCAACTGCACTTTGCACAACACTGACACGTTGGTTCGGCAGCCTCTGCATAGAATCCTGTCAAACAATGAAAAGGTGCACATGGAAAAGTGATGCCCAGGATATCATCCCAGGATATATAATAGTATAATATAGATTTATGTTTTTGTTTTGTGTATTTTTTGGGGGGGTCGTGGACTGTAAGCCTACAAACACTAACCGGTTTTCCATCGGCTTTTTGGCAAACAAGGGCATCAAAAATGTTGCGAGCATTCTGTGCTGGCAGCCAACATGCGTTGGCTTGTGCTTTGGCGGCTTTGTAGCACTCATCACTCCACTGCAACGCGCACACTCCATGCTCCTTCCGGAAGATATTGTGCGCATCCTCAGCGCGGGAAGCGGGCATGAGTATGCACGTTCCATCTGCCCGGAGTCTGCCAATTTAGAAAATGCGCCCGGCAAATCCCGGCAACGAATAGCGCCCCAAATCCAAAGGAAAATCATATCCGCAAAGCCACAAAACAATGAAACAAGAGCAGCACGCACACACACAGAGACACTCCATCCAATATAAGCAAGTCGCGTGCCATGAATGCATGCTACCATGCAATGTCAAAGTTTGACGTTCTACATCTTATATAATTGCCGGATATTACTGGTAACACCAGGGTTAGGCAAAAATATGGAGCCTGACAACGTGTAAACACACAACCACTACCCCGTCGCATTTGTCCTGCATAGACTGAACATCTGGCAACACTCTCCGAAAATGCCGCCAAGGGGTCTAGGGTTTGACGCTTCCAGTCTGACATGTTTGGATGTTGGCCTGCACGTGTCACAAGTGCGGTCACAACAGTCACCGACGCCCCCTATTCAGTCCCAAAGAGGTACAAAGGAGTCTATGATGCCGGGACGACATGGGGTGAACAATATTACAGTGTGATTAGGAAAAATAAGCTAAGCAACTCACAAAATTAACTAGTCTAGCCCTGAAAAAAGCTAAACATCGTCCTAGAAGAACACACACATATACATCTACATGTATGTAAATATTAATTGTTTTCCTCGTTTTGGGTTTCCTAATTACCAAATTCTTGCTTGACGCTGTGCGCGAAAATGAAGGAACAAAACAAACACATCCCAATTCATTCTCATTGCTTGGGTTCTACTATTTTTCCTATTCATGGCATGTGTGATTGTCAACCATTCAAAACTGCTTTGTCTTTACTGAGTATTCGAGCCTGCTTTTCTCGGTGTGGAGCAAATTGATGCTTCGAGCCCAACCCCGTCAAACATAAGACATGACGATAAATGATACATGTGGTAAACCCTGCTTTTGAAGCCAAGTTGCTGTGCTCTCCCTCTCCCTCTCTCACTCTCTCATATTCTAAACGGGCACGTCGGGCTGGTCAAAACCAGTTCTTTTCCCTCAGAATCGGTCGCTAGAGCGGGTCCTTTTCACACGCCTTGAGACGTGGCACGGGGGTGGGGTGAAACGATACACAGCCTGACAGACCTGCAATCTGCGACACGCGATGAACACAACTGCTTGACACTGCCATATGGTGTGTATTTTTGAGAGAAGCTGTTAGCTGTGTAAATTCAGTAGAAGGCTCCATTTTGCCGCAGCTTTTGCCATGGCATCTGCAGGTTGGCAAGCCAACGTGAACTAAGCAAAGTCCTCGAGCGGCGCAAGTTACATCAAATCTTTGTTTTGTGGCGTGAGGTGATTTACAAGACCTCAACTTTACACTGAACAGCCGCAAGGGCCACAAGGGCACTAGGGGCCACAGGTGAGGCTGCACAATCAGCAAGCACGGCTGCCGCCAGTGGCGAGCTTCATCAGTGCAGCTGCATGCGGCATTGGGGGAGCATCCCTCCGTCTGGATAGTCCGTGAAGGCTGTCAAACCATTTGGCTCATTCCCTCGATCCGGCGCTGATTTCACCCAGCGCTACAAACCGCCGAGAGAAATGGACAAATGATTGACAAAGCGCATCAAGTGATCAGACATGTCACATGGTCATAACAACTCCATTCTCCAGACTTGGGATGGCCCATCTCAGTGGGCTGACCAAACCGTGTTGATTCAGTCAACCCTTCACTAAAATCAGCCTCCTCCATACACTCCACGCATGCGCTGCGTGGTGCAGCCACTCTTGATGGTGACTTCAATGGATTTCCGCGGCCCAGTGAGCTCAGTGGCCTTCCTCAGCGCGCATGCCCGCAAAAAAAGGACAAACTGATGCTTCACTGTCATTGGTAGAGCTGGGTGAAATCCAGGGTGAGTAATCTAAGTGGGTGAGGCCAAGCGGCACACGTGATACAGTCATCATAAACTCTCTTCCGAACCATCCAGTCAAAAAGTCGGCATGAAGAACTGAAATTGGCCAGAGTTGAACATTCATGCTCAACTTTAGCCCTCCTCCACCTTTCTGTGGCCCTTCCGGTAGCTCTAGTATGGTCGACATTCAGGTGCATCCTTCGGACTTAAAAAGAGAAGCAACTTCAAGCAGCCAGCCTCCGGCAGCCTCCGGGTAAATGTAACCAAGCTTCTGCACAGTCACCTCCGCCCCTTCCTTGAAGGCAGCGTCAATCTTGTCCTCTGCTATGTTCGCTGTGAAATGGCTGGAGGGTACAGAAGCGCAAAACAAAAAAATAGAAGCTGGTGTACATCTTGAGGTAGGATTGATCTACAAATGCTCTTGATCCGTTTCAATAGTGACAACATTTTAGCAGCTTAACTCGGTGATTTCCCGTACCTGGCCTACCTTCCTTCCTTGGCCTTGCCACAAAGATCGAACACAACTGTGCCCAGCTGTCCTTGAAGGGGAAGGGGCAGCCCTCGAGAAGTGCCCGCATACCGGAGTCCCAAGCCTGACACAGTGACCGCTGCACCAAATTGCTGAGTCTCAACATGTTGCGGGTCAAAACCGCATTCTTATTGACCCCGGCAATAATAGGCAAGATGAACTACTGATGCCAACCGGCTTTTTTTTGTGCACCTAGTTGACCGACAAAAGAGATAACCACTCCCGGAATCAGAAGCAAGTCAGACAAGTCCCAGGTGTCTGCACAAAATAGAAATTGAACATATCTGCACTGCACTCTACACAACCTTCCACCTTCCTGGATCCTGGATGTTTTGTTGCTGTCAAGTCGCATTTGACACAGCAGTTCTCTCTCTCTCTCTCTCTCTCTTCCTCCAGCATGACCGTCAGGCTACAAGGGGTAACTATGCCCAGCTCCATGTAGTTGGTGAGGAACATTATCCACGACGGGACATTGATTCACTGATCCCGTCAAGCAACTACATGCCCCCCAAAACCATCCGAACCGATGTCATCTTGTGCCGTTGGCCATCGTTGGCCTTGCCAGTCACCGCTTCAGGTTCACCCCACTGATTTTCGCTGGACCTTGCCTGAGTCGCTGGCTGAACCCTTCAGCCACCGTGGGCACAATGGCGGGGGGATGGTGGAGGTGTTGGATGTCCGTGATTCGAAAGAACATCCGGCCGCTTCAGTAGATCTCAATACCCGCCATCAATATCTGTTAGATCTCTTTTGTTTGTAGTTTGTACCCTGGAATCCCAGGAGCAGAAGAGACATCCTTGTCTCCTTGGATCTCATTGCGTTCGACTTCCCAACCGTCATTGTCCTTTCCTACCGATCCCTATCATATCTGGCATCCTCCACACCCTGGCAGGAAAAACATTTGCAAGATGCATGTACTGCACATAAATAATGCAAACAAAGGATCAAGGAGCCCCCTATCCCCCACCCTATTAGTATGAGTACCCAGACCCCCCCAATCAGTATGGCTTTATGCTTTCTTGATTGCCTTGCCTTTAATATCCTTTAATCTTCACAATTCACAGTTTCCGACTCCCAGCCTCACCCCTTTCCAATTACTGTATACATATATATACATATAACTAGGAAGGATTTGGGGGACTCTCCGTGGCTCCTTGGTTCATAGTCCCCGGCTCCTTAGCTATATTACGTATATATTACAGTACGCGTACATTATTATTACGTATGTAGTATAATACTGTCAATGTTATATATGTTTGCACTATTTACAATAGTTAGTTTCTATCGCCATTATGAACACTTAAAATAGGTATTCCTGTTCCTCTCTTACCCCAAGCACCTTCCAAAACACCTTTCAGTCATGCTGGCCCATTGATGAGGTCATGCCTTTGGCAGTTTGCCCATTCAGTGAGGCTCAGTGGATAGGCCATCTCCCCTGCCATCTCCTCATGAAGAGATTTAGTCTTTAGGATCTCTCCTCGTGAAAGGACCCCTCCCAATCGTTTCAAACACGTTCCAAGACCTTCTGACCTTCTGGGGGGGCTACTAATCCTATGTCGACATTGAACCTCAAAGGCGAAACATCGAAAAAAAACAACGAAGAAAACACCCACCTAAAGAGACCTAAAGCATGCAATGATCCAACATAAATCGTCCCAGCATGTTCCTGTGGCTCTCTTCAGTGTTCTCAGTCACCGACACCCCCAGCACCTCCTGCATCGACCGATAACGGGCGTCTGATAACGAGGACAAAAATCACCTCGTAGGGTGTGCATTGAAATAGGGAGACCTCCCAAACACCCCTGGAAACAGGGAAGCAAACAAACACCCAGTGGGCCAGGGGGTTCTCCCATCATAAAAAAGAACACCCACATGCTCATCACATCTGGTGCGCCCGAAGTGTGTTCAACGGGTGCAATCCGAAGAACACTCTGTGAATGTTACTTTCAAACCCCTAAGGCGCCGTCCAAATGTCTTGCTTCGGGCTGGTGCAAAAGCTGAAGTGATCAGATTTGTCGTGGTGGAAATCAACAGGTGTTCGATTCAAAATGACTCTGGGAATAGATGAAATTGGATGAAAAACGTCTTTTTCAGACGCTGTTTCTTAATGTTCTATATCTAGGTTGGTGGGTCTATCATGGTCTATCAATCCCTTGGCCGGGGTTCTTCTTGTATCTTCTTGTTATATATATTATATAGCTAAGAACGACAACTGATATGAACACTAAAGGACACACGGGCACCGCAGGTTGAATTGCCCTCATGATCACAATAGTACATGGTTGGTTTTATGGTTGGTTTTTGCCAAGTTGAACGGACTATTGTTTTAATTTTTCTGGGTGCAGGGCCCTATCATATCCTATCATTTGACGTGGTTTGGTGCACCTTCTCAGCACAACTGTTTACTCTTTAAGGTGATCTCGGTAGATTCTGTACCCTAGTAGCTTCTTGTTCCTGGTCCTAGTAGCAAGGCCAGGAGCCCCTAGTAGCGTCCTTGCTCCTAGTAGCGCTTTGCTCCTGGCAGTGCATCTGCATGAAGTTTGGGAAGCTCCGTTCTATCGCTGCGTGTGCATTTGTGTCAGTCCTGGAGCTGCTTTGGGCGCCGCTTTGGGCTTGGGCTTGGGCTCCTCCTATCGACGTCCCGAGGCGGCGACGACCCTGAGGATCCATCTTCCTTCTCTTGTTTCTTTCTCTGCTCAGTCTCACCGTCACACAGATCTATTCATCCTCTGCAGACCCATTCTGGCCAGAAGAGTCCTTTCGATTCCAGTTGTTTCATGAATTCATGGCACTTCTACTTGCTAGCTGGATGGGAGAGAGGCGTCATGACACAGGCGTCACACGGCCAAAGGCTGCCCCTTGCACTCCATCTCACAGAGTTTCTCACTCCAACACAGAAACGCACCACAGCACTGATCAACGCTCTCCTTCACATATGGTGACCCTCTTGGAAGGACATTCTCCTTGAAGTGACCCATGACCTCATTCGAGACTCGGGATGAGCGAAGCCACTGGAGCAAAATGCATCTGCCGGGCGTTTGCAACGCAAAGTAGGGAGGCAACCCGTAACCCACATACGTACATCCTTCACGTCAGAAGTTATGCATTCATTCGGAAAGAATCGACTTCGCTGGGTCAATTCCATGTGAACCACCTCTCATGTGTCTGAACTGAATTGGCGATGGGTCAAAACCGGGGGACATTGGTTGACAGCAGAAACTGAACAGAATAGACTATTGGGGAGGTCAACCTACCGGGGTTTAGGGCTCCGGGTTTTGACCGACAGCCAAATCCCAATCTTGGTGAATTTATATTTTCTATCAGCACCATCCGGTACCCTGGGCTTTACTTCATGGCATCTTTCAACACCAATACCCACCGAAGACTGACACAAAAGTGCAAACCCATGGTCTTAGGGAAACGGTTGCCAACCAAACAAGAGGCTCCCTGGCAGTTCCAATGTCTTTGGTCATCTTTGTTCTATCAATTTTTGCGGGGCAAAGGGTGCCACACACACTTTCTCCCCTTTCAACTTGCTCCGACGTGAGATTAATCAGCGCCGACCGATTGATTGGACTCTGCGCGTTACCCGCTGGGAAGTAGTTGGCCACGCAGAAGCGGCCGTCCTCTGACAAAGCCATGCCGACGTGGGTACTTCCTGGCGCATCACCAAGGAGAACCAGTGGGTGGTGGATGCAGACCATCCAAAAGGTCCATCCATAGGGGTCATTAATTTGTTGGTCGAATGAACATCGGTCAATCTTCGCATCCGAACTGAAAATTACCTACAGCCACATCATGGGTGCAGTCTCTTTTCCGCAGATTTCGGCAGCTCCCAAGGTCAATCATCCTGATACAGGAGACTTCTGGACTCTTATGGCCCAGCTGGAGCTTTAAGGCTTTCGAGCTCTTATGGTCGACGTGCCCAAAACTGCAAAACTGATGATTCAACCAAGGTCCACTCACGTCATGCGCTGGCAGTCACGAGCGGCTGCAGGAGCGCACGCGAAGATCAAAAGAATATAGAACCCGACATCTCCTCAAAGAACCCACACTCATAAGCTCCCCTTTTCCCGTTTCACCACTCGCCGAGAACCATGGTATAAGGCCATGGATCGGGCAAAGGCTCAGCAGGTGCAGAACCCATTTGCCAGAGCCAGGCACTGGTGCCTGAGTTGAAAAATGCACGCATCCAGAACCTGGGGATAAACAAAGCCCTGTCAGCAGCCCCGCAAAGCATTAGAGTCACTACGTTTGGGTGCCAGAGAAAAATGATGCATCCTGTGTTCATTCGGCCTGATCATGAACAAGTACAATGTTGAATCCAAGCTGCTGCCGTCGTTGTGCATGTCCTTCAGAGTGCTTTGCGATTGACCAGTGTCGGTGGCAGAACGAACGTCCCTAAAATCAACGTCGGGGAGATGGGATTGTCAATCAGGGAAGACTTGGAGAACCGCAAACTTCTGAACGCCACCTGCAGTCACTTTAATTGTGTTCTGAAAGCACATGTCTCAAAGACGTGGCCTACATGCAACAGCATTGGTGAAAGCTGCAAACTGCACAACGATGCACCATGTTCCACTCCTTGCAATACCCAACCACCTGATGCGACTTTCACTTGATTAGTTGACCGCCAAGAGAACTCGCGAAGGGTTGTCTATGGTTGCCTCACATTGCAGACCCTCAAGCTGGCTTAAGTCTACTACCCACAGTGTCCATGCCGTCCATGCCTCTCCCCAAAAAGAAAAGACACGAACGCGAGCCACTCCGCGTTCCAAACTCAAAAAAATCAAACAGGCAATTCACAAAAAAGACAAATACACGTTCCTTCCCGTTCCCGCCCAGGTCCTGCAGGATCTGTCGCTCCTCTGCCGTCATGGGCACGTGGGCCGGATCGCGCAAGGTGTCATAGGGCAAGGCTTCCTTCCGCTCTTGCCAGGTGGAATTCTCCGGCACCTGCGGTGACGGCTGGGCGGTCTAAAAATCAAAGACCACGGGTCAATCAATGTAGAAAACAAGTGGATTGCAGTTATAAAATGAATTGTATACTACAGTAAGATGTAGACAACTATGTATACTGACACACACACATATATATATATACATATGTTATAAATACTACGGTAATACACATGATAATACGTACTGGGGGGAGGGTAGCCCGGCAAGATGAGGCAAGTGGTATAGCTACGGAATAGTCGGCTAGGCGCTTGGCAGGCGCCAGAACGCGGACGAGCTTAAACGTCTTCAAGGAAGCTCCCTCCGCCTGAGGCCGGGGGGCTTCCTTGAAGAAGTCTGAGCTTTAATTATTTGGTTCCTTGGATTTTATGTTGAAACGGGGTGAAACTTATAAGGATGCGCGTGGTGAGGTGACAAACGATGCGCACGTTCGGATGGGGCGTTCGGATGAGTTGAAATGAGGTTTGGATGATTCGGAGTCTCACTGGTGGTCATTAATATGAGGTGTTTCATCATGTTTCATCAAACCTCAGTGTTGGGTGGCCGGTTGATGTAGGCTGGATTTTGTCTAAGACCATCGGCTTAAACACTTAAACAAACATACGGAGTACATGCTTCTGTGCTTGGTTATTTAGCCGCTCGACAATTGTCTACAGGGTCAGTATGTGCTGCTCCAGACGACCAGGAGGAGAAGATTTCATAATCGTGCAAAGTGCTGCACATGGCGGCGACATCCAAGACTAATGTTCTTTGGTACAGCTTGAAAGCCACGTCTAATCCAACATCTACTACTAAGCTGCCAGCCTCACCCCTGACGCTCATACATCCCTCCACCCCTCACAACCAGCGTGACCCTGAAAGATTTTGTGGATCCACCGGGGGCCCTCCCACTCCACTTACCGCCTTGGGAATCTCCGCGGAAAAGGGATAGCCTCGGAAAATGAAGCATCAGCACCCCCTGCGTTTCAGTGTATTTGGGGATCGTTGCGTAACAGTGGACAATGCACAATGATGACTAGCAAAGAACTTCACCTAACATCACCTAACCCCCAGTGATGAAGCTTTGCCAACACTTAGCTTGGTGGGAGTAGGAGAAGCATGGAAAACATTGGCAAAACAAAGCAACGATTATAGGACTGGGGCTGCGCCAAGACTTAAACTACTCCAAATTCCGGGTGCTTTGGAAGAGATCATTTCTTTCAATGAATGCTTCTGAATCCACAAACGTGCCTAACATAGCAGTCCAATCTTGAGGCATAGAACTGCTTTGTTGCCATGGTTCGGGGCAAATAAGTTCTACCAATCGGTGCTTTGGAACGTCAACAACTCCAACTCCTTCACTGCTGGATTTCCCCTTTGGGATTGATAGGTGCCACACCCTGGGGATAGATTCAAACAACATTCAGGGATTGTTGAAATATGTTGAAATTCAAGACTGCTTTCAATTCAACAAAGTAGCCCTAAACAAATCCAAATAGCCTTATCCTCCGTCCTTAGGTTCTTTCTTTGCTTCCTTGCTTAGGTTGGTCCTGTACTCACAGAACTCCATTACCATGCATCCATGTGCATCCTTTCTGCCAGGAAGCCGACCAGCTTGAAAAAGTGTCGGCACCAGGGCGAGTCTTCAGCTCTCCTGATCTGACGGTCCCTCAAACACGAAGCAACCTCCCCTGCGGTCGGACGGTCGACTCATGCGGTGTGCAATGCGAACCAGAACCCCGTGGGCCCCAGGGCCCGGAACAGGCTCAAACCTGATTGCATCCTCCAAGAACCAAGGCTGGAAGTGGAAGACTTGGTTGAGAATCCCTTGACCTATCCATATACACACACATATATATTATATCTACAGGCTCAAATGCTCAAACAAGCTAACAACTAAACAAGCTGAACAACTGAACTGGCAAGCTGGATTCCAGCCCGGCAACCAAAAACCTACACTCTTCTCTCCAAGTGTCCACATGGTTCCCTTGGGGGCATACATCAGCCACGCCGAAGGTGCATCATTCTCCCGTGTCGAGCTGACATTCTTCCTCAGTCATGGCGAGTGGGCACATGCCGAGGCGAGCGGAGTGTGATTTCACAAACGGTTTGTGGCCAATAATTGTGATCTGCTCATATTTGCACTAGTTCCTGATTGAGGAAGCCAACGGTGGTGGCTCCCAGGACAGCACATTGCAAGCAGCAGGACAGCCAAGCAAAACAAGCTGTACCCGGGGACACTTCCGGTTGATAAGGACGAACATGTCCAACATCGATGATTGAATATATGTATATATATATATATATTGTGCTTTTCCATAACTTCTATACTTGAGAGAGGAGGGGGGTGAACGAAAGGTAGCAGGGAATCAGGCGTAATCCGGGAGGAGGTGAGAGGCCCCCCACTTGTTTGAAGAGAAGTGCGTGAGCGTGATGAAAGAAAGACTAGTGCACAAACGCTTGACAAAACCTCCAGAAGCTGTAGCGGTCTAGCGGCTTCAATACAGGTTGACGTGCCTTCAAAAGGAGTCACATATTTCTCAAGTGCAACTTCGGATTTACATAGTGACGTGCGGCGACCCTGTAAATTGCGTGGCCGCAGGCCATGCTTGCAAACAGGACGTGCTCAAAAACACTGGTATTTACGAGGTTTCGTTGCCGTCGATCCACAGCCGCGGCAAGGTCTAAGGCCACGCTTGAAGAGAGGAGGAGCTGAAAACACTGGTATTTACGGTATTTTGTAGCCGTCGATCCAAAGGCGCACCACGGTTGAGCGCTGGAAAAGCGCAGAAAACCGTGTAAATACCGGCGTTTTCTGCCGGGAAGGTGCACAAAACCCTGTAAATACCATAGTTTTGTGCAATTTTGAAGCCTCCAAAAGCCTCAAAAACCCTTTGTGACAAAATCTTTCCTGGTTTTTGGTCTTTTTTCGGTCATTTTTCTAACCGAGACGCATCAAAAACCATCGGTTTTTGCGGTGTTTTTTGCCGGACAGCCACAAAAAACGCTGTAAATTCCATGATTTTTGGTCACTGCTGAGGACTGGAAGAGCTGAAAACACTGATATTTACAGTGTTTTCGAACGGTTGACCCCGAGGCGCGCTAGGGTGGAGTTGAAAGGGGGGGGGGCCCCCCCCCCGGCCAGCAAACGAAGATGTCGGGGACCATTTCTCCGAGAGATAGGCTGCAGCTCTGGGTTAATACATTTTTGCTAAAGCAAAAGGAAAACTCAGGTAGCGTAACCGCTACCTTTCGTGATATATATAGTAAACAGTAAACACTATACAGTTCCCTTTCTATTGAACATCGATTCGCCCGAAAACCCCCTTTCCACCAGTCCGTTCCGAGTCTCATGTCCTCCGTGAAGGTGACATTGGCCCAATCCGCCACCTCTTGCACGGCCTTCCGCAAGTCCCTGCTCCAGTGCTCATAGAAAATGGTCCGCACCTGCTCCAGTGCTCCGCCGCAGGAACGGACCGACCGAAGACCCCCGGGAACGCCAGTCTTGCTGTGTCACATGAGGTATCCATATCATCTCATACATACGCACACAAACACACACATTATATATATATATTATATAAACATGAATGTTCAAAACAATGGCTGTAGCTCTAAAACAATGACATGTCAATTGTTTTGAACCATGGCCCATGGCTGTAGTTCTGCATGCCTGGCCCCTTTCCTTCGAACCCCAGCAACAAAGGACCCCCCGTCGTGCGCCAAAGCCCGACCCCATTCCGAGTCACGTTGTCGTTGCCGACGGCCACAGCCAAGTCCTTGATGGTGAGCGCAAGCTCCAACTCTCTCTTGCAACGGTTCTTCTCGGTGTATACCTGAAGCAGCATAGCTGAAAAACAAAAAAACGCGCATAGATCTAAAGATGCTAAAGGAAGCGCCAGTGAGATGATCAAAAAATCTGAAACATATGTTTTTGGTGCATTGTACTGTCAGATGATCGGTGGGGGCACCCCAATGAGGACAATCGCGGATCGAAACAAAAGGTTGGAGCATCTGAAAGGTTCAAGGCATTGATCGTCGAACACATCTGGCCTCACCGCCAAACGATCGTCTATAGACTCCTCCTGTGACCACACGTGACCATTTACACCCCGACCGGTTCACCCGAGTGGACAGGACCGCGGCCTTCATGGAGCGGGGGTCCCGGAGCATCAGCACGAACTTCTGCTCTTTCAGGTCGTCCAAAGGAATCCGCAAGAGTGTACCTCGTTGAAGTGGAATGAGTCTATCTGGGGAGGCACCTGAGACCGGGTGATCTAAAGAGAATGACATGTCAGCTGTTCTGTCTGGGTAGAGCATCATGGATGATTACAAACACGGAGCTTCCCGTTTGGCATTTATTACGGGGTCCTTGTCCATCAACAGAATCTTCATGTTCACTTCTGTCATCTCCCCTTTTCCAAAAGCAAGCAGCAAGTCTATATTTACGGTCTACATCCGGTCTACATCTGTCTGCATGCAATGCGTGTGTCTTGAAGAGAAGCCGGCTCGAATTGAAAGAAAAGGCCGGGCCACTGGCATTAAAGAGCGCGACCGTCTTGATGATGCTGCGATCCGGTTGTCCGCTGCACATGCGGTCGACACGCTCTTTGAACTTCTGGCTGACCTGGCCCTCACATCCCTTGCATTGGTAAAGGCACACGAGCCTCGCAGCCGTCGCGAGGCTAAAGTGCTTGGGGGTCGAAGCCAGGACGTGTAATTAGGACATCGGCCCCAACATTCAGCACAACACCCGTAGACTCTGGCAGTAGTCGCTCCGGAGTCTCTGCAACTCGGCTTCTATCACTCCATCGAGCCCCAAAAAAAGCGGTCTCTGGATCCACGAGGTGCTTTCATAGGTGCATCGCTTCTAGTAACAGGTGCCTTACTAGTAGTAACAAGAAGCTACTAGTAACAGGTGCATCGCTTCTAGTAACAAGTGCATTAATCATCCATCAGCTCAACTCAGCATGGGGGCAAGCAAAGGGCCACTTTAAAATGATACGTACTCCCCAGGATCAAGCAAACACATTGAACAAAATAAACAACATCACATATTTAAACAATCCGACGATGTCTGACTTTTGAACAGTTGCCTTGCATCAACCTCTCCCATCCGGTTTTTGTTCCAGGTGACCGGCGTACAGCTTGCTCTTCTTCGTCAGGTGCCAGGTCCACATGGAATTTGTGAGGAATCAGCTCTTCCTAGGAATGCACTTTATGAAGCTTGCAGCTTCAAACGTCGGCCCAGCCGGGCCGTCAACAAGCATAGATACAAAATAATACAACACGTGCAGCACATCAAAGGGATTTGGAAGGAGGCTGGGTGAAATCACCGAAATCAGTTGATCAGCCAGCCATGGCTCTGACCACAGGCCCCAGCCATTGCCGTTGAAGGGCTCGAATATGTAAGGGCGATGCCCTTTATTTCCAAAGAGATCGCCCCAGAAGCAGGATCCTGATGGACATGAGGGGGAAACAGAAACCTTCAATGCTCAGCTTGGGCAAAACAAATGTTCACACCCTGATCCGGTCCCCGACGCGAGTACACACACAAGAAACATAAATAGATAATTCAATATATATATATACAGTATATACATATGTTATATATTATGTGTATGACATTATGTGACTATAAATGTGGGACACCTGACAGTCATCCAGAATGTCCCTGCCTGAACGCCCCATGGATAAGAAATGCAACTTCTTGGCCTGGGGTTTCTTCTGCATTTGCATCATGGAGGCATCCTCTGGCTCCCGAGCACCCCATGCCAAGGCCAGGATGAATGCCACACGTTCGAACATGGCCGTATTGAGGGATCGAACCTCGCCCAAGTGACCCCGGCTTGAGCCAGAATGGCGAGGTCGTCAGAATGCTGCTGAGCTTTAATGTGACCTATGGAAAAGTGCCAGAAGTCAGAAATCGTCAGAACCTCCAAATGTTGTGGGTTGCCTGACTGTGGAACATGCTGATGGATTGCGGCACCTAAATCAAATCTGTGACAAGCACCGTAAGCACAGCACCCTGCAGCCCTGCGGGTCCTTTCCAAACCACCTGAGTAAAGTGGCCCGTGCCAGGTGTGAAGGTGGCTTTCGCAAAGTCGTATCCAGGGCTGACGATTTCATCGTACCAGGCCTTGACCATCCTGGCAAGGTCGCACGAGTTCGCATCTGCCGAAAGCATCCGAGACCAAAATCTGTCAAATCTTTTTTGGGGGCATGCAAAGCCAAGACAATCAAGAACGGACGTGTACGGTTGGACTATGTTGGACTATAATTATGGGGTTGTGGGATTGATGATGTACCTTTCACTACCTGTCCGCATTGAATTGGAACTCTCTGAGACATCTCATGACCTTTTGCACGGCTTCGTCTGGTGCACAAGCTTCCCGAAACAGCCACGAACCATTACTTTGCACATGGGAAAAACACATGATGTACGGACGTCTTTAACGGACCTGTGGTTGCTTTTATGTCCAATGGCAACTTAAACTCACAGCCTCCAGTGCCTCCAGCGCAGTATATAGTCAAACGGAACATGCCATCTTCGCCGCCTTTTGCCAGGCCATCGATTAAATCTATGGGAACTTTTGGATACTTTTGGTACCAACCCAACCCCAGACGTTCCCATATGGTCCATCACAGCCTCTTCCAATCGGTCCGCTCGCCGGCCTCTCAGCTGAGCTTCCCGGTGCGCTGCACCAAAAGATGTTCCTCGGCTTGCTGCTCCGTGGTGCGAGGTCAGTGGTCACAATTGCTCCGATTGATTGACCACGGGAGCCATCAAAACTTCCAAGGCTTACTTTCAGGAGCCATCCGGTGTTTGTTCACTACTTTCAAGATCATTTTCGGGGGGCACCAAGAACACATTGGGTTGGCTGCTCCTCCTGCTCCAAGCTAGATTGTCAAGAGGCCCTGTCCGCAACCCCATGTTCAGAATTTAACAATTAAGCAAGCGTAGGCATAGTCCAAAACCTGCCTCAAACACCTTGGACTCGGACGGTCTGGTTGTTACAACTGGTGTGAATCCATACAACATTCCCCGCCCACATAACAAAAGAGCTGCCGCGGTCTTGTAAGTGTGGTTCGATGATCTTGCAAATCGCCTCTAGATCTTCTGTTTTCAAACAAGTCTGCTTGCAGCAATTCCGTTCCCTTTGTATACTTGCTTCTGAAAGTTTGAGGCGTCCGAAGCTGCCAACAAGTGGACCAAGATCTGTCCCTAGGGCGTGGGTTTTTGCCAAAATCAGTCGGGGATTATCTAGGAGCGAACCAATCAGCACCAGCACGGCTGGGTGTCAGGGTTGCACCAACTTGTGTTTCCCAACTCTTCTAACCAAACATCAAACCTGCTGGGTGTCTGGTGTGAAAATCAAGTGCATCGGACCTGACCATGGATGAAAAAGGTTTAATTATGTTTGTTTCATCTGGAAAAGGGACCACGTTGAATCAGGCGCCCAGCGGCTGAGCCCAGAAAAAATACTGCTGAGAATCCAGGTGCCCATGGGTGCCCATATTCAAGTACGGCCCCAACATTGATTGCCGGTTTCGGTTGGCACTGGATGTGCGCTTCCGGATAGCAAACCTCTCCATCTCTCCATGCGTGAGTCGCACAAGACCTATCCATGTGGCAACCATGTTGGGTGTGTGATTGCCGCACTTGCCCTTTCTTTTCATGCCGAGGGTCTGTCCATGCCTGCCACTTGGTCCAGAGCAATTATCCTCGGAGCTAGGCGCTAGAAGCGTCTTCTAGCCAGCCCAATGATCAACATCAACAGCATGACATGTCGCCAAAAGCTTTAGGATGATTCGAGTCCAACATCTTCAAACTATATATTTAAAACGAGCTTCACCATCGAGATGCTTTGTCACGTTTCCTCAAGGTCGACCAATGATAACGCGCGCTTCCGGCACTCCGGGCACCGCGAGAACGCGCTACATGCGCCCAGCCGCATGGAACATGGCGGACTTTTCTTGGCACGCATTCGCCTGGTGGTTGCAGCAGCTTTGGATGAAACATGATGAAACCATGCCACTCTTCGGGAAGCTTTTTAACAAGTACCTTCCTCTTAGGGCTTCATGCTCGTTGGGCCGTGTATCGGCTGGCCGCCTGCTTCTTGGCACTCAAGTAGCACTCATCGCTCCACTGCAAATCCGCCGAGCCATGTTCCTTTCGATACGCATTGTGCGCCTCCTAGGCCGCTGCAAAGATTGAGTGGTGAGAACGGCGCTAACTATCTGCATGGAAGTGTGTGGAATTTTTATCGCAACCCAGCCTGAGTCCTTTTGGGACCATTGAAGGCTGCTGGAACTCGTAAAAACTCTAAGCACAACTATCATTGCTAAGCCATTTAGCATCCATTGTAGGAACTATGACGAATGACTTAGAATGATCCATATGGCAAGTATTTTAATACAGGGGAGACCTCCCCAAAAGCTGGCCATGATATACATTTGCAAAACAACAAAGAGAACCCACATGTTCCTCTCTTCAATCCACCAAGTCATGATCACTGCGACGTGCCAAGATGCCAAAGTTTGCTTCTTCCATTCATCTCTGATACCCACAGTGGTGGGTGTGCCCTGTGGGGGCTCCTGCTGGGCCAGCCAGTTTCTTTCAAGAACAGTCGCATTTCACCATGTTATGCATCAGAATACATCTCTATCGAGTGTTGTTTACCTGACTTTCGAACGTGCAAAGCATTGACTGATGAAAGCAAACATGCACTACTACATCATGGTTGCTCACCAACTCATTGCGACCAAACCTCTCCAGCAAGTGCAGTTCGCAAGTGCAGTGCCCACCCCGAACCCGGATCCTGCAGAACTTTTGCTACCGCCTGCTTGCCGTGCATCACGAAATCGATGAACTCATCCAACCTGCTTGAACACAGGCCCAGAAGTGACTGCTTGGAACTCTGTTGCTGACACCCTTTCGTCACCAGTGCTTGGACACTATGATATACATATATATATAGCTTACAGCTGACGGGTTCTTTCCGTGGCTGCAGCGCGGCCAGCTCCATCACCGCATCCCTTCCAACTCTTACCCGAAACCACCCGGTTCCGAGGTCCAAGTGGCTCCACCGTGCCATTCTGGTTCACATCTGCAGCGCAAAACAACTTCCTTGAGCCGCCACAAACAAGTCGAGCCGCTGGACCGACTGGCTTGTTCGTTCAAACACTGGGTCTTGGCCACAAAAAGTGTTCAAGAATCATTCAATGATTGTTTCTTCATCGGGTTCTTTAGCTCTACTGAATCAACGCAAAATGCCCTCATGTGTCATCTATGAACATGGCAACTGCGGAAGGGGTTCCAAACATAAAATCCGTGATCGCCTATCTGGGCGCTACCGAGCAGCACACCCCACTCCGCGCTGCTGACTTGGCTTTGTCATTTGCTCAGAAAATGCTGCGAAGCATCAGGGGAATGCAAAGGACCATGGATTCAAATGTGCCCTTTAGAAGACTTCCAGTGATACTCTGGAACTTCGGAATGGGCACTCTGATTTCGTATGTTTACTGTATGTACAGGTAAATGAAACATATCATATCATATATCATAATAGCTTTAGGGCTCGGCTAGTGGAACTGCACACGGTTCCTTTGGGATGAAGCCACCAGCAGCCTTGCCAAGCGTCTGCACTTGCACCTCTGAGAGGCTTCCTTGGTGGACGAACTGAGCGGCTGAGGTCGACGCGGCTCACAGAACAGCAAAACAGCAATCATCAGGCCGGGCGAGAAAAGACACACACTTGGAAAGACGCGCGGTGTTCTTGTTGTCATGCTTTGCCAACAAAGCACCGGTGCATGTTGGAGCATCGTTTCTAGCACCATATACTATATATCGTTCATGTCTGGCTGATGTCTCTGGCCAATACTTAGAACCAATGAAGGTACCTGACTATGCTAATAGTCAAGGGTGTTGTAGGGATGAGAGGTCGACTCTGACAACCCCGTGGGGCCTGGCTGCGTCTGACGTGTTGGATGGACAGTCGCTTCCCATGGCCCATAGCTTCACCTACGTCTTTCCCCAGCTTCTGAGTGAACTGCTCAGAAGGACCCTCAGAATGACCGTGCACCAGTATGAAATTGCTGTCCCAAATCCTATTTTATAGATTCCCTGGATTGGCATACAGCATGCAAAGCCAAGGTACGATTCAAAGTCTGAAGCATCTGCTTCATTTCATCAAACTGCAAAGCGCCGTCCTTGTTGACATCAAGCTCCTTGAACTGCTTCCTCGAGCGTCAAGGAACAAACATCGGCATCCAAACGAAATATAAATGTCCAAAAGGAAAACTTAAGCAAGCAATATGAAGAAGCAAGTGCTTGATCATGTCAAACCTTCCTTCCATACCAAGCAACGGAGTTGTGTATGGGGGAGGATGTGCATTGTCGACGGATGGGCTTATAGTTTAAGTTCCTTCCTGCATTCCCAATTCGTGATGATTGTACTCTTGAACAGGAATTCTGACCTTGGACCAAGAACCCTACGCTGTGAGGATACCTCAAAAAGTCTGTAATAACAATCTATAATGAATTTTGAGGCATAGTGTACCTATATATGTATATACTTGTTTGTACACATATGCAAGCGATCTCTAACTAATGGCATATGTGCACTGATGTGCGCTGTCTCCAGTTCCCTCTCCGGCGCGTTAGTCTTGCGGCTCTGGCGCTTGATCTTCGCCACCGCCTCGTCACTGGGCAAGGCCTTTTTCGCCTCCAAGACGCTGGCGATGCTGGGCCGTTCCTGAGGATAAAGGGCCCATGGATGACGCCCCCGGCGGTTCGGCGAGTCCGGCGGTTCGGCGGGTGCGAGCTGACCCTTGAAGCGGTCCGATTCCATCGGTCTCGTTGTGAGGCTCAAGTTCCTTCATGGGGCCAATTCGGGCCGACCCCAAAGAATACACGGTTCTTTAGCCAGCTTTTTGGGAAAGGATTGTTGTTGCTCCGTGAGGACCAACAGGACTCCACTCTCCAACAGTGACTCCACTCTCCTCATCCGAAATTGCACCAACTGGCCACTGATATGGACTTGAAGCTTGAGATGCTTGGCTGCCTTGAATTAAAATAACACAAAAACACATTGCAAGAAGTAGCGTGCTTTCACCGACTGAACTTCAGTAGTTGGAATTGTTGGAGAGAAGCATCATAAATCTAAGAAATTCTTCTGAGAAGGTCGTGTTTGAAGTCATAAATGTGTGGCTGTTGCCAAATTAAGTTGCAAAGCACAAGGTATACAAACAGCGAAAGCTTCCTTGACTGATGGTGTGGTGGAAGCTACAAAGCATCACATCGATCCAACCAAGCTTCCACGACGTCCCCATAGACATCCACCAAAGGAAGCCCGAACTTCCCACCTCCGTGTGCTCACGAAACGGGTCTGCAACCGACCACGGGCAGACCGACCACGGTCTGCAACCAAAAGGGTTATCAATGGTTGAAATCCTGAAGGCCAAGCAGCGGCGCTGGCTGAGTTGGTCACTCTACCTTCTCTCTGTTTCCCATGTTTATTCGCCCTTCTTTGAATCATTTTCAGCTGTGCCTTTGAACCAGGAGCATGACCTCATCTTTCGTGACATCTCAGCCTCGGAGATCCGTACAAACAATGGGGGATGCACGCACTGTTTGAAGGAACTGCGGAAAGGAACTGCTCCACCCCATCGGAGAGAGCATGTTACATTTGGCAGTATATCACGCAATGTTGTCCACATCCAGGGGCGCCGGGGGGTAGGAAAGGAAACGGCAACTAGATGTAACTAGGAAACTCAAGCGGAAAGGCTTGGACCGAAGCACAGAACTACCAGTCGGACCCCATTCACCGCATTTGGCACGAAGCCATAAAACATGCAAGTCCCCCAGACCAAGAGGGGGTCCTACAGTTTGACACAATCCAAAACAAAAAAAAATGACATTTAGTCGACAATACTATGTTGATATGTTTAATTGGTTGTGAACATGAGTGAGTCTGAGAGGAAATGCCACGGCAGTCAGTGGTAACTGAAGCAAAAACATAAATTTCAACTACTTTGGTCAAGGCCGTCCTGCTTTCCTGGCTGCCTGCGAAGAGCGTTTCAGCATGTTTCAGCCAAGAGTTAAGGTAAGTCACAAACATTAACTTCATTACGCGGGGTTTTGCTCCAAACCTAAACGTGGTGGATTCTTCATTGATGCAAAACTGCAATGCAGGAGAAGGAATGAGGAATAAACAGAAGAGATGACAAGAATGTACCAGCCCGCCGTAGCGTGGCAAAGAAATACACAGATTACATACCCAACACACATGTCTGCAGGAAGTTGAACGGAAACTGACTCCCAGTGGACTTCAGGCCTCACGGACACTTGGAGTGAAAAACTTGGCAGCGGGGTTCGGGAAAATTGCATCATTTGCCCAATACATTGTGCCGAGGCCGCATTAAATTGATGCCCACATAATGGACATCAAACATCATAACAAACACTTACATGTTAGGAAACAAATCCTGAGGAATCCCCCTTGCTTTAAAAAAACGGTATCTCCTGCCGACCAAGGGCGTCCAATCTTGAGACTACAATGCCATTTTGACCCAGGATTTCCTTTTTTTGGTACCAACCTCTCATTCCGAGGTGAAACATCCTTGGGTCATTTAAACACTTTGATTGATGTTCATCGCTTTTGTTTACTCTGACAATCTCGTCAATGGGAGCCACACCCGGTTGGCTTTGTCCTCGATGTTCGCATACCTAAACCTTGGCAGCCAAAAGAATCGAGAACAGCGGCTTGTTTCCTCTGCACACTCGATTAAATCCTGTCATGTGTGTTGCCTGCAGGGTGTGGAAATTGATTTCCATCTTGATGAAAATTGACTTCCATCTTGAACTCGGCCATGAGTTCAAGGGTATGTGCTCCTTCATCGCTTCCCCAAGTTCTTGCATGACTCATGCATCACCTATGCAAGTTGTCATTTCAATGCTGCTCGCTGGAGGGGCTCCAAACCATCCAAACCAATTCATGTCTTCGGATACCCGCTCACAAAGACCCTGAGATGAGGCTAAAGCGGGTGCAGGCCATATTGACAGTAGGTGCTGTTGGGAATTGGGCCATCCACTAGAATATACGCATGCAACAAGGAGGGCTAAGGAACAATAGTAATAGTATTTACACATACGTTACATGTGCATATGTAAATAGTATACCTACAAAACATACCATACCATACCATTACATTAGATTACATACATGTATACCTACATACATACATACATACATTACACACATACAAACAAGCATACATACTTATATACTTACGTTACATGACATTACAATACATCTAGACACATACATACATACAGACATACATACATACTTACATTACATTACATTACACTACATTACATTAAGTTAATACATACATACATTACATTACATTAAATTACATTACATTACATACATACATACATACATACATATATATTTACTTACATTACAGTACATTAGAGTACAATACAATACAATACATAACATCATACAAACAAAAACATAACATAACATACATACATTGCATACATACATTACATTACATTCCATTACATTCCAGTACATTCTACATAACATAACAAATATAGACATTACATTAATACATGCACACATACATACATTACATTACATTACATTAATATATGCATACATGACATGACATTTCATTATATTACATTACAAAGAAAAACATAACATAACAGTACATAAATACATACATACATATATACAAACATCCTTCCATCCATGCATACATACACAAACATACATACATACATACATACATACATACATACATACCATACATACTATACATTACATACAATACATACAATATATACATTACATACATTACATACATTACATACGTACATTACATACATTACATACGTACATTACATACATTACATACTTACATACTTACATACTTACATACATTACATTACATTACATTACATTACATTACATTACATTACATTACATACATACATACATACATACATACATACATACATACATACATACATACATACATACATACATACATACATACATAACATAACATAACATAACATAACATAACATAACATAACATACATAACATAACATACATAACATAACATACATAACATACATAACAAACACACATGCATGCATACATACATACATTACATTACATTACACTACATACATTACATACTTTTGCTATAGTACCGGGATGCATGTTTTGACCCTACCAATCAACCACAAGCGTCGGGGTCCCGGGTTTGCAAACATTCACCTGGCTGCATGGAAACGCAGCTTTAGTCAAAGGTCACCCGTCTTGTGAAAGTCACCCGTCAGCATCCAAACGACTTTCTACGAGTCCAAACGACTTAACCCAGGTACCCCGTGGGGACAATTGTACGCCCCCTCAAAACTGTCCAGGGGCAACCCAGGAGTCCTAGGCACAAATCTGTACGTGTTGTGCGCTATATTTGTAATTAGTTATTTACTTAACATTAACACACTTTTGGCAATGAACCTATGCGAACGGAAGCAGGGCGGGCACGGTGGCGCAACTACTGCTGGACACCGCTGGCCGCTCCAGCCCTGCAGGGGTGTCAGGGACGACTGGAGCAGTCCTTTTCTGCCCAAGTGGCTGAATGCCGTTGCTGGCGCAGTCCTTTTTGAACTTGTTACCTCATGGAGTTTGGAGGAACTCACATCCAGGAAACGCAACCAATTGCACCAACCCAACTACAGTTGGAGATCTGAGAGTGACATGGAGCATGTATCAGCTGCCTGGCGAGGATAAACTTGGGAAATACACAAGGGATGATGTGGATGGTGAAACATAGATCTGTGCGTTTCGGCACACTGATTATATATATATATATATAGTAAATGCGCCCAAAAAAAACACAAATATCTCATTGGATATGAGATTAGTCTACCGAAGACCACATGCCAACAAAGCTGTCGTTTGGCTTAAGCTTTTGCAGGGCCAGCAAGGCACTAGCACATAGCAATTCATGACTGCCCGCTAGAGGTGCAAGCAGAACATTGCCCACCCAATCCAGCCTCCTGAGAAAACCAGCTAAGCTCTCCACACATCCCACATGTATCTCTTCCATAGATGACCAGCTCAGCCATAGCCTGAGGGGATCTGAGGGGCGTCGGAGCCTGAGTTTTGGCAAGCCAAAATGGGCCACATCTGGCATCATCTGGCACTTCCCATCCAAAAGCAATCCCAGGAGTTCATCCGAATCTATCCGAACCGTCCGAACCTCCTCCTCAATGTGATGGCTTTTGTGCAAGTGTCACATGACTCAGCCGTCACTTCGCCTGAGGCCGGCGGATCTCCAGGAGATGGCTTAGTAAAACCTGCCACAACCGGAGCTTCTTCGCCTGAGGGCGGCGGATCTCCAGGAGATGGCTTAGTAAAACCTGCCACAACCGGAGCTTCTTCAGCTGAACATGTTCCAGTCACAGCTGAACAGGATGCAAACACCTTGATTTGTGCATGCACTTTACATCACCTTGGGATGAACCTCAGATTTCCATTGATTTCCTGGGTGATCTGCCCCTTTTTTCACCCCAAAAACGTGGACAGCCTGGCGCGGACAGAGTTCGTAGCACTTCTACGACCACCCAACGCGCCGCGCCGCTGGAGCCAGAGCCGCGGAACGCTTGGGTCAAGACCCCACGAAGCTACCCTTCCAACAATCGAAAGTGGAACATGACCGAAGTCGTCGGCGAGATTCTTCTAAATTCACCGAAGCGTATCGAACCGTGGTCAACTTTAGTCACAGTTTATGAATGTTCATGACACGTCATGACCGAAGAACACCGTCGCTTCCACCGGGGGTTGTTCATTCCTGGTATCACGGTCGCATCGGAAGCAAAAGCAAGCAAGCCCATGTGATGCAAGAAGCAGCAAACCAGCGGAAGAAACATGAAACTACCTGTCAGATCCTGTCAGGCCTTTCAATTGCCTGATCTTGATACGATCTACCTGGACCAAAACCCAGAGCCAAAGCTAAGTCGTGTGTCATCTTGTCTGTCACTTGCAGTGCTATGCTATGGCAACAACGAACATTCTACACCTCTCGTGAGAATCGGGGACCAATATCAACATCTCTCATGTAGGAAATCAGCAGTTCGCGGGTTACATCAGGATCAGGCATCAGCCACCAACAAAAATAGCAACTTGACTGACTGTCTTCTTAGCCACTTTATACCCAGGCCCAAAAGAACAGGGTGGTTCCATAAGCGGCTGCCTGATCTGCTCCTGCTCCTGAGCCTGGCAGCAGGACCCCAAACTGTTTCAACTGCCCAATGGTGTCTTGCTAAGTAAGTATCCCATATTGTACGACGCCTCTGGTTGCTCTTGCTCTGCTTACTTGGCATTTTCTACAGAGCAAAACTGATGTTGCAACTGTGAGAGAACATATCAAACATGTTCAGCCTTAGAAGGCCACAACATACCTGCTGTAGCTGGAGTGGTTCACGCTCACGAAGTCGGAACCGAGCAGGAAAACGTTCGAACGAGTTCGAAGCACAAAGGACGTCGGGACGTCGCGC